TGAAGCTTCAGCCGGCGAATCCATCTTTCATCGACGGGCGAGATGGTATTCTTTTGGCCGACCAGATTCTGACCGGGGGTGCAAACCATGATGAAATCTGGACCGCCTTTGCACGTCGTGGCATGGGCGTGAGTGCCAGCGATGGGGGAAACGCCAACTCGCCAGTTGTGATCGAAGCCTTTGATTTGCCGGCGGTTGCCCCTGTGGCCGTGAACGACAGTGCAGCCACGCTGGAAGACACTCCTGTTTCGATCAATGTGCTCCTGAACGACGTCGACCCCGATGGGGTGCTGTTGCCGCTTACCATCAACATTATTGCCGGTCCCGTATCCGGAACCGCGCAACTGAATCCGCTCAACGGACAGATTTTATACACTCCCGCGCCAAACTTCTTTGGTGTCGACGTGTTCTCGTACACGGTTGCAGATAACAGCGGCTTAGTGTCGAATCCTGCCACGGTCACGATTGCGGTGTCGCCGGTGAATGATGCACCTGTGGCGGTGAACGACGCCGCAGGCACGGCGGTGAATTCGCCTGTGCTGATCGATGTGCTAGCGAACGACTTTGACATCGACAGTCAGATCAATCGCTCTTCACTTCAGATTCTGCAACAGCCCTTGCACGGTACCACGTTGATTGATTTTGGTACGCAACGAGTGATGTATCAGCCAGACCCGGGCTTTGCTGGGGCCGATGTGTTTACCTACCGCATGACCGATGCGGAAGGAGCGTTCTCGAATGTCGCGCAGGTTATCATCCGTGTCGGTGACCCTGTTGGGTTCACTGGGGCTGTTTACGCCGACCGGGACAACGACGGGGCGTTTGACCTCGACGAGCTGGGCATTCCTGGGGTGACGATCACCATCACCAAGACCGATGGCCCCGTGACGTTCAGTGTAACCACGCAAACGGGGGCCGACGGTCGTTACTCGCTCTCGGAAGGTTTCGGCGGCGGTTTCATCTTGCCGGCAGGTGTTTACAGTATCACCGAGACCCATCCCAGCCCGTTCCTCGATGGCATCGACTCGATGGGAAGCCCTGGTGCCTTGATCGTGAACAACGACGCTTTTCACGGCATCACGTTGGGCTCGGGCCAGGTGGCAGCCGGTTTTCAGTTCGGCGAGCGAGGGTTGAGTGCCGAATTCCTTGCCCAGCATCCGGAGCTGCGGAGATTCTTCGCCAGCACCGAGCCGATCAACCCGGGCGAGTCTCTGGCTCCGTTGTTTGTCTCGCCGGGCGATGCGGTCGGGGCCGTCAGTAACGCAGGGTTCTCGTTGCGAACGTCGAACAATGTCGTTCCCGCCGGCTTGCCTGGGTTTAACTTTGGTCTCCCGCAGTGGCATCCCATTTCTGGCGACTGGAACGGTGACGGGATCGATTCGATCGGGGCTTACAACTCAGACACGGCCACGTTTTTTCTCACCAATTCGAACGATGGGGTGACGACCTATCCGGCCTTCAATTACGGTCTTCCTGGTTGGGTTCCAATGGCGGGTGATTGGAACGGGGACGGGATCGACACGATCGGTGTGTACAACCCGGCGACGGCGACGTTCTTCCTTCGAAACCACAATTCCACCGGGGTGGCTGACATTCCTGCGTTTAACTACGGTATCCCAAATTGGGTTCCGCTGGCGGGCGATTGGGAAGGTTTGGGGATCGACACAATTGGCGTCTACAACCCAGACACAGCAACTTACTTTCTGCGGTTTACTAACGACTCCGGCACCGCTGACTTAGCTCCCTTCAACTACGGCATGCCTGGCTGGCAGCCCGTGATGGGCGACTGGAACGACGACGGCATCGAAACGGCTGGTGTCTACAATCCCGCCACTTCAACGTTCTTCCTCCGCAACAGCAACACCTCGGGCGATGGTGAAATCGTCTTCAATCACGGAACGCCAGGCTCCGCCGTATTGGCTGGGCACTGGATGCCGATGTCGGGTAGTCCGCTGCTGCTCGATGGTGAAGCCGCTCCCGTGAACTCGTCTGACGTGTTGCTTACCCGAGAAGACGTGATGCCGCTGCTGACTGAAGCGATCGGTAAATGGGCATCCGCAGGGCTCGATCTCGATGGAGTTTCGCAACTGGCAGGTGTCGAGATCTTCGTCACCGATCTTCCTGGGCGGCAACTTGGTCTTACCACGGACCACGGAATTTACTTGGACCTCAACGCCGCAGGGAAAGAGTGGTTCATCGATTCCAGCCCTGGAGACGATGCTGAATTCGCGTTGGATGCCAATGCTCAATCCGATGCCGCGGGACGTGTCGATTTGCTGACCGTGCTGGTGCATGAATTGGGTCACGTCCTGGGATTGGACGACCATGATGATGACTCGCTCGACATCATGTACGAGTCGCTAGCCGCTGGAAGCCGCCGCGAGCCGACCGACTCTGCGGTCGATCTTGTGCTTGCATCGGAAGAATAGGCTGCACCTTGTTCGCTGGCTTGGGCACCTCAGAAAAACGCTCGATTGCGCGCTGATGAAGTTCTCGCTGAATCAGTTCGTACCGCCCGAAATCAGCTCACCAGTTGGTCCAGCACCTATCGTGCACGCCTTTCACGAAACAGCCAGAGAGGCTACAACGCAAGACAGTGCGGCCCCAAGCTGCCTTGGTACACGTTGAATCTGGCTTGTTGGAAGTGAATCGGTATGGCGAAGCAAGTGCTGTTCGAGCCCGAAGAGTATCGCGGTCTCTCATCTGAAGAATTAGAGCTGCTTCAGGTGGGCTATGGCAAAGCAATCGAAGCATTGCGAAAAAACATCACCCCCAAAGGGTTTACGGCTTGTTCGCTCGAAGACAACCAAGTGTACGGCACCGACGCCAACTATCGCGCCGTTTGGGCTCGCGACGGGTGTAAGACGATTCTGTGGTCGCTCGAATTGGCCGACGACGACATTCGCGATTGTCAGGCTGCCACCTTGCGAACGCTGCTTTCGCATCAGGCAGAAACGGGCCAGATTCCCGGAAATGTGACCATCGACGATGAAGAGCCTGAGTACGCCGGGGTTGGTGGAATCACCTCGATCGACAGTGCATTGTGGTTGTTGTTGGCCATCTGGCGGTATTCCGATGCCACGGGCGATTGGTCGGTGGCTGAGGAGTTTCGGCCCAATATCGACAAAGCGATGACGTGGCTGGGGGCTCATGATTCGAATAACTGTGGTTTGCTGGAAATCCCCGAAGCCGGCGACTGGACCGATCTCTTCGCCCGTAGCTATCACGTGCTGTACGACGAAGTCTTGTGGCAACGGTGCCTGTCCTGCTACGCAAATATATTGCGTCACTTCGGCGAAACGGAAGAGGCCGACAAATATCAGGTGAAGGCCGACTTTGTGCGACGTGTGATCCTGCGTAGCTTTTGGCCTTCGACCAATGCTCAGAGCCACGAAGGTTTGCCGAGCTTTAGCGATGTGCAATTCGCGTTGGGCGATGCTCGATACCTGGTGGCCGAGATTTCTCCGTTCAGCTTCAGTTGGCGATGCGATGTTTACGGCAACCTGCTGGCCTATCTGACCGGCATGCTCGATAAAGAGCGAGCCATGATGACGTTCCGTTTTCTGTGGGGCGTGGGCGTGAATGATCCCGGGCCGGTGAAGTGTCTTTACCCCCCGGTGCAGGGCGGCGACCGTGAATGGCGAGGCTACTTCACGGTAAACATGTTGAATTTACCGAATCACTATCACAACGGCGGCATCTGGCCATTCATCGGCGGGCTATGGGTTCGCTACATCCATAAGCTCGGGATGAAGGACATCGCCCGTCGGGAATTGGTGAACTTGGCCCAACTCTGCTCGATGGGCGCTGCCCAAGAGTGGGAATTCAACGAGTGGCACCACGGAGTAACTGGTCGCCCCATGGGAAAGGCCTTTCAGGCCTGGTCGGCGGCAAGCTTCATTCAAGCCTGCCAAAGTCTCCGCATGGATCCGGAGCATCTTGGAGATCAGTTGTAGGCTCCTCTGGTATCAGCCAACTCTCCTCCATATGGGTTGATACTGCTCTACGTCAGGGACACCTCAAGCGGTACTCCTGCCATCCTCAGAATGCTGGGGAGGTGGCGGGTGCGTTCCCGAACTCCCCCGTCTACTCTCATTCGCTCTTGGCCACCCACGCCTCAATTTGGCCAAAAGTCTTTAGTGCTCCAAGGTTTATGCGGCGTTCGTGTCCCCAGGGTTTCATGGAAGTGCCGTGTTATGGGGGTTTTCCCCGGGGTGGTTGTTCAAAAAAGCTTAGTGTGCATAATAATTTCCATCGAAGTACGGCTAATTGCCCCGCAGAGAAGCGAACCGATGCCTTCCCATTTGAGCCTAGAGAATCAGGTGATCATGGCGTTGCGTCGTATTACCAGGGCTATCGATTTGCATTCCCGCGACCTACTTCAGGACGTCGGGCTCACGGCCCCTCAGTTAACCGCATTGCAGGCTATTTCCCGTCTGCAGCCTGTCACGGTGGGGGCGTTGGCAAAGTCGATTCACTTGAGCCACGCCACTCTGACGGGCATTCTCTCCCGCCTGGAAAGCCGTGAATTAGTCTCCCGATCGCGAAGCGGCTCAGACCGACGAGCGGTTGTGGTCGAGCTGACCAAGGCTGGCGAAACCACATTGGAAACAGCCCCTTCGATGCTCCAGGAGCGATTCCGCAGCGAGCTGCACAAGCTCGAAGAGTGGGAGCAAACGCAAATGCTCGCCACGTTGCAGCGAATCGCGTCGATGATGGATACCAAGCTCTCACTGTCGGGAACTGAAGATTCTTTGGTGCCCGAAGGCTTCGAAGCAATTCTCCGCACATCAATCGCCTCGGCTGAGAAGACGATTGTGCCCGCTAACGAATGCACGGATGATCCTACCGAATACCCAGGCTCGACTTTGGCGACCGAGCCTTACGACTCCTCCCGCAACAACTAACCCTCCCTTTACTACTCGATTCGATACCAGCAGCAATTAACAGAGAAACCTTGGAAGGAGGCTCCTGTGGACGCCACGACGGATCGGCGGATCATGATGATCTCAACGCACGGATACGTATCTGCCCAGCCGGAATTTGGAAAACCGGACACCGGCGGACAAGTTGTTTACGTTCTCGAATTGGCGAAGTGCTTCGCCCGGCTTGGCTTTCAGGTCGATGTCTACACTCGGCGGTTTGAAGATCAGCCGGCCAGCGACACTATTAATGATCGTGTCAGGGTACTTCGCATCCCGTGTGGTGGGTCTGAGTTCATCCCGAAAGAGACTCTTTGCGACCACATTCCCGAATGGGTCGAGAATACGCTCGCCTACATCAAGCAAAATAATCTTGAATACTCGTTCATCAACAGTCATTACTGGGACGCCGGGCTCGCCGGACAGGCCTTGTCCAATGGTTTAGATATCCCCCACATCCATACCCCGCATTCGATTGGCGCGTGGAAACGGGACAACATGGACGGCGACCCCGAAGAGTTGGAGCAAAAATACAACTTCAGCCGTCGGGTTCGCGAAGAGAAAGTGATCTACGACGAAAGCGATGTGATCATCGCCACCACGCCGCAGCAACGCGATATTCTAAAAAACAGCGACTACGATTTGCCGCTGGAAAAGATTCGCGTCATTCCCCCAGGATATGACGATACGAGGTTTTTCCCTGTTTCGCTCTCGTCTCGCGAGGCGATCAAGCGAGACCTGGATGCTGAAGGACCCATCGTGCTGGCCCTGGGCCGCATGGCACATAACAAGGGATACGACCTTCTGATCCGGGCTATGCCCTTCGTGTTGGAGCGAGTCCCCGAGGCCCGACTACTACTGGCGATTGGTTCGACCGAGCCTTCAGATCGCGAATTGGAGCAGATCAACGAACTGCATCAGCTTGTGGCGAACTTGGGCATCGAAAAGTCGGTGGTCTTCCGCGATTACATACCTGACGCGGAGCTGCCGGACTACTATCGCGTGGCCGACGTGTTCGCCTTGAGCAGCCGTTACGAACCGTTCGGGATGACGGCGGTCGAAGCCATGGCTTGCGGTACGCCCACGGTCATCACCACCGAGGGTGGACTGTGGGAGCAAGTGACTTGGGGGCTGGAAGCTATTTACGCCAACCCCTTCGATCCCAACTCGTTTGGAGGTGCCATTGCGAATGTGCTGCAGTACCCTCGCGTGGGAGCACAAATGGCTCGCCACGGTTCGCAAAAGGCCCGCGCCCGCTTTACCTGGACGGGGATCGCCCAGCAGATGATTCGCGAGCTGGAAGCGGCCGGTCCGCGGGTGCCTTTGGACTTGCAGCACGAACCTCAGACTGGTCCACGTGCGGCGTGGGCGGTTAATCCTGCCGAGGAGGAATTGTGGAAAACCGCTATCTCCTGATCAGCGACGTCGACGGCACGCTGCTTGGAGATGACGAGGCACTGGAGCGATTCACCCAGTGGTACGAGACACAAAGCGATAAGCTGCAGCTCGTCTACAACTCGGGGCGGTTCGTGCATTCCATTTTAGAATCAGTTGAATCGACGGCTTTGCCCGAGCCGGTGGCCGTTATTGGTGGCGTGGGTACGCAGATTCGCTGTTTCTCCCTCCAAGATCCTATTGGCGATTGGCCTGATGGCAATGGGCAATGGGATGCCAGGCTCATTCGCTCAGTGTTGGGTGAGTACCCTGGATTGGAGCTGCAACCGGAAGAGTTTCTGTCGGAATATAAAATCAGCTACTACGCCAGGAACGCATCTGCCGAGTTGCTCGCAGACATTCGCCAGAAGCTCGAGGCCTCCGGATGTCGTGTGGAAGTGGTGTACAGCTCGAACCGCGATCTCGACGTTCTGCCCCAAGGTGTTAACAAAGGCACCGCGGCTGCGTACCTGGCTGCCCATTGGTCATACAGCAAGGACCAGGTTTTCGTCAGTGGCGACACGGGCAACGACATTGCCCTGTTTCAGCATGGGTTTCGCGGGATCGTCGTCGGAAACGCCCAAGCGGAACTCAAGGAGCTGAAAACCTCCAGCATCTTTCATGCGAAGGGAGTGTTCGCCGCCGGCGTGCAAGAGGGGCTCACTCACTGGATGTCTGCTCACGAGGGTGCTGCACAAGCGAAGCACGCTTTGGATTGATATAACTGGCTGAATCCTAGTGCGATTCATGTTCCCAGTTTTTTCAGGCGGAGTAGCTCCCATGAGTAAGGCCCTGTTGTTGATCGACATTCAGAACGACTACTTTCCCGGTGGCGACATGGAGCTAGTCGGGATCGATCAGGCCAGCTCTCGGGCGGCAGAACTGCTAGGGATGTTTCGGGACAAGGGTGGTCCGCTGGTTCATGTGAAGCATGTTTTTGCTGACCCGGCCGCTCCATTCTTTCGAGCGGGTACCTCGGGGATCGAGATTCACTCGTCGGTTGCACCACATGAGGGTGAAGCCGTGGTGACTAAGGCGAACGTGAATGCGTTCTTAGAGACTGAGCTGAAGGAGATCCTCGATCGCCAGGGAGTCGACGAGTTGGTAATCGCCGGGGCGATGAGTCACATGTGCATCGAGGGCACCTCTCGCGCAGCAGCCGACCTGGGCTACAAATGCCAGGTGATTCACGATGCGTGTGCAACTCGCGACCAAGAGTTCAATGGCCACGCCGTCCCAGCGGCCGACGTTCACGGAACCGCCATGTCGACGCTGGGTTTCGCGTACGCCGAAGTGCTTTCGCTTAGCGAATGGCGGAAAGCAAACGGCTAAATTCGAATTACGCCTTCGGGTGGCTCGGATTGCCTACGCACTCGACTTGGGGTCGTTGTTCTTAACCGCTTGGGTGCGATTGTGCGGGCCGTCCTTGCGTAACTCGGGGCGGTCTTGCAAGATCGTCAAACCGTGCGGGCGCTTTGGCGTGGCGTGCGACTTGTCGCTGGAAGGTGGAACAGCCGCTTCGCTTTTGCGGCTGAACTTCCGCAAGGCGGGCCACAACAACTTGGCGTTGTCTTTCAGGTACGGCCAGCGGAAGTAGTAGCTCGTAAAGCACTTGGCGTGAAGCTGCAAGACTTCCTCTCGCGTGAGGTTCTTGTACTTCATCACTGGGGTGTAAACCGTGTACTTCGAGAAATCGAAGTCGGCAATCTCGTTCTTCACCTCGGCGAAGAACTCGGTGCCCGGGTACGGCGTGACGATGTTGAAGTTTGCGTAGGTCGGATTGACTACTTTGGCGTACTTCAACACACCACGAATATCGGCCGTCGTGTCGTCGGGGAACCCGATCATGAATCCGGCCACCGTGCGGATGTCCATTTCGCGACAGCGAGCAACGAATTCGCGCTGCTTATCGTCGTTGATGGGTGCTCGCTTGTACTGTCGCAACGTCCCCTCATCGGGCGTCTCGATGCCGACGGTGATGCTGGTCAGCCCCACATCTTTCAGCACCTGTAAGGTCTCAGGACGCAGCAAGTCGATGCGACCTTCGATGGAGAACTGCACCTTGCGTGGCAAGTGACCAATCAGTTCGGCCAGCCGCAAAACACGCTTACGGTCGAGACCGAACAACGGGTCGCGGAACTTGAACGACTTGAATCCGTACCGCTTCATCCCGTCGTTCATCTCGGCCACCACATGCTCGGGGCTGCGGAACCGAGTAGAGTTCTCGACGATGATGTAAGGACAGTAGTTGCAGCTGAACGTGCAGCCGCGACTCTGCTGGATGAGCGCCGTGGGGAACTTCCAGAAGTCGTAGCCGATGCGGAACTTCCAGTGGTCGAATAGCGACCAGTCGGGCCACGGCAGGGCATCGAGGTCTTTGACGCTGCCGACTTCGACGACCGGCTCTTCGGAACTCAAGACATCGTCGAGCTTCCAGAGCAACTGTTCGGCTTCGCCTTTCACGATGGTTACGCCAAGATCGGCGAAGGCCTCGGGCAGGGCGTAGCCCACGAGACCGGTCACCAACACTTTGGCTTGCGGGTAGCGGGCGCGTACTTGCTCTATGGCTTTGCGTTCGATATCGAGCGTGATCAATGAAGGGTTGAACACGAACAGGTCGGCAGCCGGAGGCGTTTTGTCTTCGACGAAAGCCACCTCGTGCCCCAGCTTGCGGAAGATCGCACCGAGGTAGGCAAAGTTCAGAGACACGGGGCGGTAGTCGCGCTTGTACATGTGGCGAATGAGCCAGCCACGCGGGCCACCTTGGCCGTGATACTGACCAACGCCATAACCGCCGGCGAAATCTTTGGAGGCATCCAGTTTTCGTGTGTCCCACAAGATTACTTGCATCGTGGGCATCCTTCCTGCAACTCGTTGCTTTTTAGTTTTCTATGTGGCGAGAAGCCCGCTTTCGGGCTTCGGAGAAGGCTCTTTTCCGACGATTACCCAGTCGGTAGGGGCTTGGTACCCAGCGCGAATCGAGAACGACCTCGCGATTCAACGTTTGCGATTGTCCGCCTGAGAAGATGCGATAACGTATTCCACGCCAGACAATGGTCGATCCTACGAGCGCCGTAGCCATTCCAATCCAATTCACCGTGGCCACCAGGGGGCCAGCGACCAGATCGAATCTTCGCGCGAGTTTTAGTTGGTCTTTGAGCTGGGGCAGCGACAAGTGGGCGGTTTCTTGTCGAAGCGAAGCTTTGAGTACACTAAAGCCGTAAAGGTAGGTCACCACCCCCAGCGGCACAGTGGCCCACACGTCACTCTGCAGCAGGTAGTACACGCCCAGCCCCAGGCTGCTGAAGAAGGCGAGTATCGCCACGGTGGCGAAGACGAAGGTCATGTACCACAGCCGAGAAATGCAGAACCTGGCAATCACGTACTGCCGGCGAATGAATTCGAAAAGTTGTGGAATTGTGTTCTCTGTGGGCGAGGCGACCAGGCACTTGGGTTCGTATTCAACGCGAAGCCGGTTGCGGTGTATCACTCGGCTGGCGACCAAGTCGTCGCTCACCGTTCCGTACCAGGCTTGATGCAGACCGATTGAATCGAACACTTCCCGTCGAATGGCCCAAGAACCACCCCAAACCAGGTGATGTGAGCCAGGGCCGAAGAATGAGGCCACCATCGCGTTGATCGAGTAAAGCAGGTGGTTGGCCAGTGAAGGGGTCTTCGGCACGAACCAACGATAGGCGGTGGTTGCTCCGATCTCGGGGCGCTCGAGCCGCTGGGTCAGCGTTCGCAGCCAGTCGGAGTTGGGGCGGGCGTCGGAGTCGACAAAGGCCAGCACCTGGATGTCTTCGGGCATGGCAGCGGTGGCTACGCGAAGGTTGTGAACCTTTTGGCCACTTTCTGTTGCGCGACCAGCGACGACCAACCGTGCATCGACATGAGGGTACTTCTCCATGCATGCCTGGATGATCGCATTAGCAGGGTCGTCAGCAGTTTCGACAATGAATACGAGTTCGTAGTTCGGATAATCCTGCTCGAACAGCCGGGCAAGATTGTCGGCCAAGCCCAGATCAACGCCTTTGCACGGAGCGCAAACGCGGATTCGCATGGGTGGGTCCGACCATTTCTTATCGCGTTTCAGGCGACTGCGAGCGAAACGTCGGTGTTCCCACGTTTGCAACGCAGTGACGAACGCCTGCACGATCGCGACACTAGCGAGCGCATACCATATTGGTAGCCAGAGAGATTGCATCGTTGTCGTCGGCACCTTCCGTGATGCTTTTCGATAACCGCACGACACCATTCCCGACGGCAGCGCGGTGGAGAAAGATACCGGGATGCCACGCAATGGGTCAAGGCAATTCTTGCGAACGACTTACGTCGATCGGCTTGGCCCCAGACGCCACTGCATTGAGAAATGATGCTTGCAATTCACCTGCTAAGAGAACCCGCCTGCAGGTAGTCGACTTCGTTAGAAGTGTACTTCGGCGTTAAAGAGGCACGCCCATGCGTTCAAATGGCTGGAATCCAAGCCACGTCGCTAGTAATGCAGGTGTAGCGATGCTGTCAGTTCTTGTCTTCGGGCTCTGCCTGAGGGAAGCCTGCCTCGATTAGTTCTTCGAAACCAGGCTTAAGCGGGCGGGCTTCGTAACCCAAATCCAGAAGAATCTTGCTCGCAATCAGGCAGCGTCCACCCGACTTGCAGTGCACGTACAGAGGGATCTTCTTCGAGAGTTTCTTGTCCAGGGCATTCACAAACTCTGGATCGGACTGCCGCTTCCCCAACTCACTGAGAATCACCAGAGTGGCGCCGTCCACATGGCCGGCATCCCATTCTTTCTGCTCGCGAACATCGACCAGGATGGCCTTCTCGTCGTCGACCATTTTCTTCACGGTCGAAAGACTGTCCTTGGTATGCTCCACTTCTGCTGCTAGCGATGGCGAGACAGCAATGGTGGCTGCTAGTGCAATCGCGGGGAGGAAAGACTTCAGAATGTAAGCAAGGCGGCGAGCTGTCATTGTTCTAGTTCTTGAAGAAAAGGGGCTGAGGCATAAGCGTCGTGGGGGTCGCGCTCACTCAAAACTCGGCATTCCCCGGGGTACGGGGGAAGGGAATCACATCTCTAATGTTACTCATCCCGGTGACGAATTGCACGACTCGCTCGAGCCCCAGCCCGAACCCCGAATGCGGGACGGTGCCGTAGCGGCGAAGATCGACGTACCACCAGTAGGTTTCGGGGTCGAGCCCCTGCTCGCGCATCCGTTCTTCCAGCACTTCCAGGCGTTCTTCGCGCTGGCTGCCGCCGATGATCTCGCCGACGCGGGGAACCAAGACATCCATGGCTCGCACGGTTTTTTCGTCGTCGTTCACCCGCATGTAGAACGGCTTGATCGTGCGAGGGTAGTCGCTGAGGATGACCGGCGACTTGAAGTGCTGCTCGGTAAGAAACCGCTCGTGCTCGGCTTGCAAGTCGTGCCCCCATTCGATAGGGAATTCGAAGTCGGCCTTCGCTGCGAGAAGGATCTCTACAGCTTCGGTGTAAGTGAGCCGGATGAACTCGCTGTCCCTGACAGCCGTCAGCGTTTCGAGTACGGTCTTATCGATGCGATCGTTGAAGAACTGCATGTCTTCGGGACAGCGCTCCAAGGCGTCGCTCACGATGCGTTTCATAAACGCTTCGGCCAGGTCCATGTTGTCGTTCAAATCGTAGAACGCCATTTCCGGCTCGATCATCCAGAACTCGGCCAAGTGCCGTGAGGTGTTCGAGTTCTCGGCCCGAAACGTGGGGCCAAAGGTGTAGACCTTTCCCAGGGCGGTGGCATACGTTTCTGCTTCGAGTTGTCCACTGACGGTGAGGTAGCTGGGCCGCTCGAAGAAGTCTTGGCTGTAGTCTTCAGGCCGGTCCTTCTTGGAAGTGGCATCGAACGTCGTCACGCGGAACATTTCGCCGGCCCCTTCGCAGTCGCTGGCGGTGATGATGGGCGTGTTGACGTAGAGGAAGCCACGCTCTTGAAAGAAGTCATGGATCGACTTGCTGATGCAGTTCCGCACTCGGGCCACGGCACCGAAGGTGTTCGAGCGGGGGCGTAGGTGAGCGATCGTTCGCAGGAATTCGAAAGAGTGCCGCTTCTTCTGCAGCGGAAACGACTCTGCATCGGAGAGGCCAACCAGGGTCACGCTCTTGGCGTGAACTTCAGTAGCCTGGCCTTTTGCCGGCGACTCGCGCACTTCACCTTCGACGATGACGCTCGCGCCTGCGGTGAGTTGCTTGACGTCCGATTCATAATTCGGCAAATCGGCGTCGGCCACCACTTGAACGTTGGCCAAACAGCTACCGTCGTTGAGTTCCAGAAAGCTGAATCCGCCTTTGGAATCGCGTCGGGTGCGAACCCAACCTTCTAGACGCACTTGTTTGCCCGCCGATTCGGCAAGTCGAACTTCGGCAACTGAGATGCGATCCATTGCTATCCTCCGAGCCGAACGAGTATCGAGATCACTCGATCCGTCGTTGGGTGACTACAAGAGTTCCTTAGCGGCCAACCAACGCTCGGCATCGAGCGCGGCCATGCAACCACTTCCTGCGGCGGTGACTGCCTGACGGTAGTAATCGTCGGCCACATCGCCGGCGGCAAACACGCCATCGACACTGGTATAAGTTCGCCCGGGCTTGGTCCACACCAGATATTTCTTGTCGGTCATATCGAGATGCCCTTCAAGAAACCTGGTGTTGGGCGTGTGCCCGATGGCCAAGAAAACTCCACTGGCGTCGAGCTTCTGATCCGAATCGTCGACCGTGCTCTTGAGGCGTACGCCAGTCACTCCGTCCTGATCGGTCCCGTAGACTTCTTCCAAGGTATTGTTCCACAAGATCTCGATTTTGGGATCTTCGATGGCACGTTTGGCCATGATCTTCGACGCTCGGAGTTCGTCGCGGCGGTGAACCATGTAGACCCGCGAGGCGAACTTCGACAGGTAGGTGCTCTCCTCACCCGCTGAATCGCCCCCGCCGATTACCACCAGCGGCTTGTTGCGGAAGCGGGGCAGGGCGCCGTCGCAGACCGCACAGGCACTCACGCCGCGGTTCTTGTAGGCTTCTTCCGAAGGCAGCCCCATGTAGTTCGCGCGGGCGCCGGTGGCGATGATTACAGTCAGCGATTCGACCGTTTCACCATTCGAGCGGACGAGCTTGAAAGGGTGCGAGCTGAAGTCGACCTTGGTCACGTCGTCGGTGATGATGCGGGTGCCGAAGTTCTTGGCCTGCTGCCGCATCAACTCCATCAACTCCGGACCGCTGACGCCTTCCTTCTGGTGCGGCGCCATGTACTGACGCTGTTCTTTGTCGATGGAGTCGTCGAGGTAGCTTTCGAGATTGCCTGCGGGGAAGCCGGGGTAATTCTCTACCTCGGTGGTCAGGGCGAGTTGACCCAGTGGGAGGGTGCCGTCGAGCCGGTTTTGTTCGGTCATAGCCCCTTCGATCACCAGGGGCTCGAGCGCCGCGCGGGCGGCATAGATAGCGGCAGTCCACGCCGCGGGACCACTTCCGACAATAACGACTTTCTCGGCCACGCCTTCAATCTCCTTGCATCTTGCTTATACGCTGAACGGTAGCAAAAGCTACGGGGACGTCCCCCTTAGGTCTCCCCGCGGCGTCGTCATTATAGGTATCGCTGGTTGCTCGTCCACGCCCCGGGCATAGTGTTTGGCATCGCCGTATCGGCTGGCGTATAGTAGCGCGATTGAAGTCGTTGCTAAGGGAGCGAATCACGTTGGACAGATCGCCTCGACGGCAGCGGTAGCCCCAGGAATTACGTCGATGCTCGAGAATGCGGCACTGGTCACCTTCGTCTGTTTCGCCATTCTTGCGGCGGCTTATGTGCTCTACGGGCGTTTTTTGGCCCGGCGTGTGTTTCGTCTCGACCCCGATCGCAAGACGCCGGCCCATGAACTGGAGGACGGCGTCGACTTCGTGCCGACCAAAATTCCCGTGTTGTTCGGCCATCATTTCGCCTCGATCGCAGGATTGGGGCCGATTCTGGGGCCAGCCATTGCGGTGACCTGGGGATGGCTGCCCGCAGTGATTTGGGTGATCGTGGGCTCGATTCTGATCGGGGCTGTGCACGACTTGGGGGCGCTGACCGTCAGTCTTCGCTTTCGTGGGCGTTCGATTGGCGACGTGTGCCGGGAACTGATCGGCAACCGGGCCCGAATGCTGTTTCTGGTGATCATCTTCTTCCTGATGTCGCTGGCGATGGGGGCCTTTGTCGGGGCGATTTCTTCGTTCTTTGTGAATTTCCGGCCCGACGCGGTAGTGCCCTCATTCGGGTTGATGCTGGTGGCCGTGTGCATGGGCATAGCGGTTTACCGGCTGAAGTTTGGATTGGGACCGGCTACTGTGCTGGCCCTTCTGGCCTTCGCCGGGTTGATCGTGTGGGGCGTGGTGCGGCCATTGCCGACCTACGAGTGGTTCTTGAACGCAGAAACTCTGCAAACTCTGGACGCCGGCCGGGAAGCCGAGTCGGTGGAAGGGCGGCCGGCTTGGGATGCTCCGTATGGGGCCGTAGCCGCACAGGAGTATCTGACTGCGATTGGCGATACTGAAGGCGTGACGGAAGTGGCCGCCGCGGTGGAAGAAACCCGGCTATGGTGGATCTGGCTACTGTTGGCCTACGGGTTCATTGCGTCGGTGCTTCCGGTGTGGCTATTGCTGCAGCCGCGAGACTACATCAACAGCTTCCAACTGTATGCCGCATTGGGACTGATGTTCTTAGGCTTGATTGTCGCCGCGGTGACTGGTGGCGCCGAAAACGTGATCGATGCCGCTCCAATGCGAGAGGTGCCCGATGCCCCACCGATGTTCCCATTCCTGATGGTCACCATCGCCTGCGGGGCAGTGAGTGGTTTTCACAGCCTTGTGTCCTCCGGGACCACCGTACGGCAGTTGAACCGCGAGACCGATGCACTACCGATCGGTTTCGGTGCGATGCTCACTGAAGGTGCCTTGGCCGTGTTAGTAATCATGGCTTGCGTGGCCGGGCTGGGGGCAGCCGCCTGGGGTGACGGTGGTGTGTATGGAAGTTGGACTGGGATTAAGGGAAACCTCGGAGCGCAGCTGGCCGCCGTGGTACGGGGCGGGGCGAGCTTTCTCGCCCAGGTTGGGGTTCCACTGCGGTTTGCCGAGGCTTTTCTTGCGGTGACCATCGTGGCGTTTGCGATGACCACGCTCGATTCGGCCACCCGACTGTTGCGATTCAACGTTGAGGAAATCTTCCGTTCGCTACGAATCCCGGTCTTGGCCAACCGGTACATTGCTTCGCTGATCGCCGTGGCAGGCATTGCGGTGTTCGCCCTTGTTCCGGCCGGCAAGACCTTGTGGACTTTGTTTGGCACCACGAATCAACTTCTGGCCGGGCTCACACTGCTTACGGTGAGCGTGTTCCTGTATAAGCTGCATCGCCCCTGGCGATCGACAATGCTGACGCTGGTGCCTATGGCAGTAATGCTCGGCGTTTCCATCTGGGCCATGCTCTGGAGCCTGTCGGAGTTCCTGCAGGCGGAGCAAGTGAACTATGTCCTGGTATCCGTGTCGATCATCGTCTTGGTTATGGCCACGTGGTTGATCTTCGAGGGCGTGATGGCCTTCGCCCGCGGACCAGGGGGGCTCGATCTCGACGACGAACCGCCGCCCGAGCCCATGGAAGAAGACGAGCGGGCCGTAGCGTCGTCGCATTTGGGTTAGCGAAGCGAGAAAGCATGAGTGCGACCGTTTCCGTCATCCTGATTCGCGAAGCGGCCGAGCAACTCACCGGTAGCGGGTGTTGCGGGAAGCTGGAGGGTGACGGAATTACCCGAAGGCAATCACGGCTGTTTGCCGATTCACGCAAGCAGCAGCGGGATATGGGCCTCTTGCACCGAACGGTCAAGCGTTTCTTTCCGCCTGCCGAAGGTCTGCCGGACGTGCACGTGGTGGTGGTCGATCCCCGCAATCAGCTCTATCTGGCTCCCAAACTCATTGCCGACGTAATACACTACCGCCCGGGTTGGACGGCCGGCTTGAAGACCATCGCCCAGGGCTTCTCACTCCCGGCGGTGATTCTGAATGGTCGGATTGTGAGTAAGGGTAGTTGTTCGCTCGATCCCGATGAGCTGTGCTACTTGATTGAGCAGGAGCGGCGAGCGGAGCGGGCGGCGGTACCGGTGGGTGGCAAGCATTGATCAAAGAACTAGCAGAGCGGCACGAAGCTCAGCTTCCGTCATCTGCAGTGACGGCTTGTTCTTGATCGGGAACTGTGGTCCAGTGAACTCCGACATCTAGGTAATCCCTCGTGTTGGGATCGAGATCGATCGCGCCGTGACCGTCTGCTCTGTCTCTGCCGACGCTGTAAGCAACGATTCCTTCACTCTCCACTTGATACCGAAGAGGCTTTCCGTCAAAGGGATCAACTGGAACGGCAGATAGGAACTCCGGCACCAATTCCTCGATTTGTTGTGGAAACGATCCGTGCTCTCGACGAAATAGCTCGGCGGCGATGGCCACATCGAGGCAGTTTGCTTTTGCTGTCTGTCGCGCACCGGCTTGAAAACAGGGGTCCGCGGGAATCACATGCAATGCAGCCATTATGTCTCCCAGATTCCAGGGCCGGGGTTTCCAGTCTAACGAAAACCTCCCTGCAGTTGTTGATTCGTGCCACGGTTCTTGGAGAGCTCTGATTGCCTCGATCATTAGATCGAGATACCTGGCTTTCGCACTTTGAGCGAACAACGGGTAGAAGCGTGAATTCGACAATGACTTATCGATTTTATTAGGGTCGTCCAAGGTTATCATGGTGATTGCCTGCTCACCCAGCATTGCACGTTCAAGTCCGCTGCGATAATCGGTGCGTCGCAGATCTTCTTGAATGTCGCGCAATTGGTCTACGGTGGGCTCGATTTGAGGGAGCAACTCTGCCGCATTCTCAATGGCAATTCCGTCTGTAGCCAGTTTGACAAGATACGACACCAGAATGGGTTCGTTCTCCATTATGCGTGCGGTGGCGAATGTATGGCGGATTGATTCAACCGCGCCAGCGATGTCGCCTTCTTGGGCTCGCGTATGGGCCTCCAACGTGAGCAGCCTGGCACAGTCACGCGCGACCTGTATCTCTGGAAGCAACATTTCGAAACCTTCACCGAAATCACGCGGGAAGCGAACGCCTCCCCCGGCCTCGGCGGCTGTGTGAATCGCGACCAGCGTTTCGGCATGTTGTTCCAGAAAAGCGGCAACCATTTCCTGTTCTGGCCACGGTTGGTCGAACGGTGGAATCTCCGGCCCGTCGCCAATTACGGGCATGGTCTTCGCATCGGGATGCGACTCAGTCTGGGCTACAAGCTCCAACGCATGTTTCCAGAGCTCGGTGTTGTCTTCGATTCCATCAGGCAATCTGTAGAAGTTGTTTAGATCCTCCACGGTGACCGGCTGCCCGGCCGCTTGCATCGCTTCAAAGCGATGCTGTAGTTGAAGGCCTTGATACCACCACGCCAGACCACCACAGAAAATGAAGAACGGTATGAGCAATAGCGGGGTATACCACCAGTGGTAGCGCCGAAGAATGAAGCTAAAGGCGCTCTCTGCTTTAGTAATCAAACCCATGGCGGGCTACTCGCTCTCTTCGGTGTTGTCCGCTGCTTCTTGCGGCTCTTCAGGGGCTGCACTCCAGCGGATGCCGAAGTCGAGTGGTTCCCTGGTTGGATTCGCAATGTCTCCGCCGTCGTCAGTGAGATTCTTTCCTAGGCCATACACGAGGAATCCGTCGTCAACCGTTTTGTACTGCAGTGCATCGCCCGTGAATGGATCGATGGGAATCGTCGGCAAATAATCCGGTACGAGTTCTTCTAGCGATGCTGGTGGTTGACCATGGTCGCGACGGTACAACTCTGCAGCGATGACTGCCTCTAGGCTTCTGGCTTCGGAAGTCTGCCGAGCACCGGCTTCGAAAATATGGTCCAAGGTTGGCATGATCATTGCCACCATAAGGTCAAAGGGATTCTTGTTATTAGGATTCCAATTCGACAACCACGGTTGATCTGCGATCGCTTCATTCCAAGGTTCATTGGTGGCTTCAATTCCATCGCTCATCAGGTCGAGGTACTTCACCTTCGACCCGGTTGCAGCCAACCGTATCAGCCCTGCCTGAAAGGTGCCAAACCCAGCTTGCCTCGGGTTGTCGAGGATATTTAATCCGAAAACCCGCTCACCAATGAGGGCGTTTTCAAGTTCAGCACTGTAGTCCAGAGTCCGCAGATCTTGCTGTAGTTTCACTAGCTGTTCGCGAGTCGGTTCTGCCTCACTTAGTAATTCCGCGGCAGCGTCGATGGCGATACTGTCGATCGCTACCCGCACCAGAAATGAAACCAGCACAGGGTCGTTGTGAAGTGTTTCGCCGAGTGCAAACATCGCACGAATGGAATTGACTGTGCCGGCGGTATTCCCTTCACTGTTATGGAGATGCGCCTCTAACCTCAGCAATCGAGCCGCCGAACGCAAAGATTGCACGTCCGGCAATAGCATGTTGATTCCTTGAGAGAAATCACGAGGGAACCTGGCATCGCCGCTAACGTCCGCCGCCCGATGAATAGCCTCCATCGTGTCGGCATGCGCTGCTAAAAAGCTCACCACGGCATCTTTCTCTGGCCATGGTTGTCCTGATGGGGGAATGTCCGGACCCTGTCC